CTCTCAGTTTTCTTCCCTGGAGGCAGCTGGCAGCCACTTTTGCTAGCTTCAGCTTCCAGAAATAGCTTATAAACATATCAATAAATGCATCTATATTCAGCCTTCATTTGAAAGAAATGTATGGATAAATCTGATTAGTGGAACTTAGGTGATATGCTTGCATATGAGCTGCTAGGGAATCTGGGAATTTTGATTCTCTGTTTTTAAGCCAGGAAGTGGGATTTGGAATATGCAATTTTTTTTTAAAAAAAGACTTTTCCAAAAAAGATGGGCAGTCACAGATATGAGAGATGTCCACAAAGTTTCCTAGAATTCTATTGTGTGGATTAATCACAGTTGATTAATATCTTGGAGGTGGACCTCCAGGTGTTTTCTGATCTGTTAATTGGTGCTATATTGAATGAGCTTATACTTATGTCATTTTACTTATGTAACATGGAATATAAATTTCAAATTGCCAAACTTGACAGTGAGTACTAGGTAGGATATTATGATATTATATGGCTCTCATGGTGTTTACTTCTCTCTATATCACAGTGACATCTGTGTGGTATTCTTGCCAGAAATGTTTGAGTTGAATGTAATCATAAGAAAACAAATAAATCCTAAATGTGGGACATTCTGAGGACAGCTGGTCTGGACTCTTGAAAGGATTCAATGTCATTAAGGACCAAGGGGGATTGTGCCAGATTAGGGGGAGACTAAGGGAACATAAGATTAAAATGCAGTGCATGAACATTGATTAAATACTGGATCAGGATAGGAAAATCCAGCTAGTAAGCCATTTTGAGGACAATTGAGGAAATGTGAGTGGGGACCATGTGTTATATGATAATATTATGTCACTGTTGATTTCCTTTGGTGTGGTGATGCTGGTGTAGTGGTGTAGGAAAATATCTCTGTTTCTAGGAGGTAAACAATAAAGTACTTAGGGGTGGTGGGTCATGAGGTGTGTCTATAACCTACTTTTCAGATGGTTTGGCAAAGTGGGAAGGAAGAAGGGTGTGGATATGTGTAGAATAGGTTGTTTTGTTCCATGCTGCTCATTTCCTAGCGTACACAGTGCTTTTGGTGGTGAGTGGCCAATATACTTTAAAATTAATAAGTACTTTAAGGTATTAATAGGATCCTCTGTCAACTAAGCACTGTATGTCTGACCTCCTTTTAGGAGTGTGGTTTGGCTTAGGCATATACCACAGTACCTTATATTGGTCAGTAGGATAGAGGGGTTTGTGTTTTGTTTAGTGGTTTACCCCAAGTCCCTCTGGACTGCCAGTCTATTGAATATTAGAAAGTATAAATGAGTAGGAAATGGAAAAGCCAGCATATTATTAACCTGCCTCCTCAATTGTTTCCTAAGAGGCTGAGTTACAACTTGTAAGTGTGTACTTCAGACTCTCTTCAGGATTTCTGTTGTTGAGTGTGCCTACTTGGGAGCTGACACCACTTGGGGGTGTGCTGAGTCAAAAGAGGCACCTTTCTGGAGTGTTTAGTAGCTGGGACACCACTGAGGGATTCTCCTGTGCTCTGAGGCTTATGGCCAGAATGGAGAATGGTGGAAGCTTTGACTTAACCCCATACCCTCCTAGCTGAGCAGGAAGGGAACAGAGAAGTTAAAATTCTGTTATATTCCTGCAGGAGCTCTTGGGTTATATGGTGTGAGATGACTAAAGCCAATTTAGCAGCCACTTGTAAAAGTAATTACAAAACGAGAGAAAGAACTATTCTGCTGCTACAGGCTGTGAAAACTAATTAATTCAACATTCATTGAGCAACTGAGTATATACCAAGCATCGTAAAGTACATATCCCTGGGAATACAAATGATAAAAACATAATTTTGCCTTGTGTTGGCCACTTGGGATGGGGGAAGGAGATGGGGTACAGTGGAGACAGTTACCACTGTACTGATTTAACTGTATTACAAGGCTTGTGATGTGATAGCTGGTAAAAAGTGGTTTTAGAATGCAGAACACATGCCACATGGGATTGCTTAAGGTTCAGAGGCAAGGTTGGTCTTCGGGTGACTTGAAGAATGAGCCCGACAGGCAAAGAAGTGGGGAGCTATTTGGCTTCCATGCAGAGGGCTCAGCAAGTGCCCATAAGCCCAAATGGATTTGGGTGTTGAGAGATGGGTTGGAATCTGGTGTGGTTACAGCCTTAATTAACTGCAGGGCGAGGGTTTTTGGAAGGGTAGTTTGGGCCAGACAGGAGGGCCTCAAAAGCCACTCCAGAGTCTGAATTTTGCAGGAAGGGAACGAGGAGCCCTGGAAGCCCTTTGCAGTTGGAAGGTGTCCCGGTTTTAATAAGAGACCATGAAGGCTGGTATGCGAAGGTGCACTGTCTAGAGAAGACTGGGAGCAATGGAGTCAGAGCAAAGAATCTGGACTTTGCCAAGTGCAGCCCAGAGAGAATACAAAATAGGGGTGCTTTTGGAGAAATTTTCCAGGCCCTCTCTCTAAGAGTTTTTAAGTTTCAAAATGCAAGGAGGCCTTTAAAAATACTTGAAGGAGAGAAACTTATTCAAACCTTTGAACAGTTCTGAAAATTTATTACATTTCAGCTAGGAAAGAGTATTATTTCAGGCAAACTGGAACGTGTGTGGACTGGTTATTCAGCACAGTCACTTAATCTTACAGAATTAGGTAGGAGGGAAGCTATTTTAGTGGCCTTCAACCTCCTTCCAGAACTTTGTCCAGGATCCACCCACATTGTTGGTGATTTTTTTCTGATTTGTATCCAGCATCCCAGCAGTTTAATGTGCATCTGTAAGCTGTAAGGAAGTTGATTTCATCCATTCCCCTTTTTTCCATTTCTTGCCTTCCACCTGAAAAAACAAACTCTAGTCCATAGGTCCTTATTCTGTTTTATAAATTTGTACAACACGTAATCTCAGATGGATCCAGCCGAGAGTGTAACAGGTTTAAAGTTTAAACTAAAAAGTAAGAATGGAATCTTTTCATTTTTTCTTTATTTTGAGTAAGTCTCAGTGACTTAGATTGTTTGAAGAAGAAATATTGTAGAATACCTCCTGCTCATGGAGTATCTGGAATAAATCACCACCTTTTTTCCTGCAGATATCATCAAAACATTTCTACCCATAATTTAGAGCTTTTCCAGACAGAATTTAAACTTAAAATACTTTGAACCCTGATGAACAACAACAACAACAAATCTTATAAAATTAATCTGTTTTTTGGATCAAGAAGTCCCAGACTATGAGACTCCATATGTAAATTCCAAAGGCTTATAATTATTTTCTCTTCCTTGAGAACTGAATATTTCAGAATGTTCTTGGCATGCTTCTCAGAGGTTTCATGTATAAAGAACAGGAAAAGTGACCTATGGGCTTACCTCACTTAAATGTGTATATTCTACTTTGTATACAAAGCAGTGATTCTAATGCTGTATGCGACCAAAGGACAGATTCCAAGGTAAACAAGGTGCTTTACTAATGTCAGATTAGGGCATGAGTCTTAAACTACTATAATAAATGTTATACCAGTATTTTCGGTTACCTGTAATAAAGAGATTTCCAGTTCAGTGTAGTAGCTGTGGTAAAGGAATAACTGAAGGTGAACTTGATACTACATGGTTACCTTTTGAAATGTAGTTGTTATGTTTTTCACATATCAAGGATTACAATTTCTTTTTCTTCTTTTTTGGTACTAGGGATTGAACCTAGGGGCACTTTACCACTGAACCACATTCCCAACACTCTCCCCCTGCCTTGGGTACTGGGGATTGAACTCAGGGGCACTAGACCACTGAGCCACATCCCTAGCCCTAGTTTTGTATTTTATTTAGAGACAGGGTCTCACTTAGTTGATTAGCACCTCACTTTTCCTCCGGCTGGCTTTGAACTCTTGATACTCCTGCCTCAGCCTCCAGACCCAGCTCTTTTTAAATATTTTATTTAGAGACAAGATTTCGCTGAGTTGCCTAGGGTCTTGCTTAGATGCTGAGGCTGGCCTCCAACTTGTGATATGGAGAATGAACCTCCATAAACCTATCACCTGACTTCAACCATTATTAATTCTTGGTTATGCTTGTTTTACCCATGTGCCCACTTCCCTGTTTATGCTGAAGCACATCCAAGACAATGTATCATATGGTGTTCATTTATAGACATTTGAATGGCTTCCTCTCAGAATACACTGGGAAATAAATTATACCCAGGATATTGGGAAGAGCTTCAGAGCAAAAGTCACATTTGGGCTCCATTCAGGTGTGGGGAAGGATTTTCTAGTTCCAGGTGATGGGATGGAAATCACCAATTATTGTAGTATCTTAAAAATGTGCGTAGTACTTTTTTTTTCTTTCAATACTAGTGATTAAACCCAGAGTTGCTTTACCACTGAACTACATCCCCAGCCCTTTTCATTTTTTATTTTAAGACAGGGTTTCACTAAGTTGCACAGGCTAGCCTTCTGCTTGCTACCTTTTGCCTTAGCCTTCTGAGTACCCGGAGTTACAAGAGTGCCCCACCGTGCCCTACTGTTTAGTACTTTTCTGTTCTTCTGAAAAGAGCACCCAAAATATAATTTCAATGGTTAGGAAATAATTTCTCCTGAGAACTTTGTGATAATAATTTACTTCTAATTTTGATAAACTAGGATAATCCACAAGTAGTGGTAATAACTAAACTGTTCTCTTCACCCCAGTGACTCTAGACTTTGTACATTAGAATCTACCCCCTAAAAAAAATCACTCTCCTTTGTAAGAGGAGTAACAGCCATCCTTTGTCACCTTTATTTTAATCTTTGAAAGAGGAGGAAAATAAGTACTGAAACATCATGGGTAAGTAGAACTTAATGATCTGAATTCAAAAATCTCACTGTCAACTGGAGGAGAGGGAAACCAACCGGTGTGGATATGTAGGTTCCCAAGCAACTTTTGGTTAGCTACCTTGTGAAATTCTTCATGTTTCATCATATATCTTGTCTCATTTTCCTGTTACAAAATGGAGTTTTCAGCATTACTTTTCTTATCTGTTTTCAGATCACAGAACTGTGTGGTGCAAAGCGGGTTGGTTATTTTGGTCCAACACAGTTTTACATTGCCCTGAAATTAATTGCTGCGGCACAGTCTGGCCTGCCTGTGCGGATAGAAAGTATTAAATGTGGTGAGTATCTCACATTTTATATTTTTTTATTGTCTGTGACAGGTTTCTTATTTATGAGGACAATTTTTAGTGGGGTTAAGGCCTATTCTATAAGCTTTTGTGGAATTTCTCACTTCCTCCAAATTCTCTGTGTTAAAAAAAAAAAAAAAAAAAAAAAAAAAAAAACAAAAACTTAGCAGGTGGCTTAGTTCCTTTCTTTTTTAAATGGGCAAAAAAATTCAGAGAGTGACCTGAGATTAGTTCCATTTAACTGACTTGCAGTTAAAACAGATTTTGTTATTTAGGATGAGACTGGGACAGGACTTCTAGAGCCTGTGGCAAAATAATAAGATTCAGTTTAATTTTCCACTTGAGGTACCTATAATGTCACTTAAGGCTCTCTTAGGGATTAGGGGTGGAGTGACAGAGAGAGTTGAGTGGAACTGTTCTTGTTTTCTCTTTTCCATTCCTTTAAGTCACATCAGATATGCTCATCCTTTAATTTCCAGTTCCCAAAGCACTGTACTACAATTTTGGCAGAATGAATCTATCTTCTCATAGTTCTGATTTATTATTCTCTTATCTTTCCACCCCTGTTCCCAGCCCACTAATATGCTTGAGTTCTCTCCACAGCTTAAACAAAAAGCAAAGGCCCCAAATATTAATATTATTTCTACTGCCTTAGAAAGAGATTTAAAAATCCATATGAAGAAGGTGATTATCAGAGGAATGCACTCAAGTCCTTTGATAATTCACTGTGATACAAAGTACTTTCATATATCCACATGGTTATGCAGGAAATTTGTTTCTTTTCCTCATTTTGAGATAAAGATTAATCAGCTGTTCTCTCCTGTCCTATGAGGGTTGGGGTAGACACCTAAATGGGTTTAATATTTATGGTTAATTCATAGAGACTGTGTGGACAATCCAAATATCTGAGATGATTGCTGGCTATGATAGCTGGCTATGGGAGACAGAGCCCCTTACACTAAGCGTCAGGGGGCTGCAGTCATCTGTTAATCTTTTTCAAGGACTTAGAGTGTGCCAGACACTGTCATATTTAATCCTCAGAGCATCCCAGTAAAGTAGGTGCAGTGCTTATTAGGTTTACATTGTTTGGTATAAACTATAGTAACACATGCCACAACTATCTCAGTGCCTTCACTAGACAAGGATTCTTGTCCCACTTTGCAGTGAGTCAGGGTGACCCTCTAGAGCAGCTGCTCTCCATGTGGTGGCCCTGTGATCCTGGCTGCTTTACCTTATGGCACCTCCAACACAAAACCTGTCCCCCCCAATTGCTGCAACAGGGAAAGAGTTTCTCACCCTAGCAGTTAAATTCTTTTGGCCTGAATGTGACTCACATTTTTGCTGCTCAAAGTGCATTGGCCAGAACTTTTCACATGGATCTGATTCACTGCAGAGCAAACTGGGGAAACACAATTCTCTCAGGTGACTTTGAGGAGAGGAGAACTGGTTATGGCATAATATTGCGAGTCTCTACTGGGGTGTTATTATTGTCCCAATCTTACAGATTTGGAAATTGAAGTTTAGGGAGGTTGAGTAACTGAATATATATACCCATGGTTAGTAAAATTTAGAGTCAGCATCTCTGCCTCTGGACCCTATGCCCCATTGCTATGTAAAATGGCTTCTTCTCCATTCCTCTTTCCTTTTAGTAAGGTGCTAACTATAACCTGCAATCTTGAAATATTTTCCAAATGGGAAAATAATTGGACCCAAAACGTATGTGTTTACATTACAGAATTTGGTTCTTTGACATAGGTTTCTTGATGGAACATCATTTCCTCAGGTGGCTTGGTGTCTGTTGCTAGAAGACAATCTGCCCTAAGACTGTTGCTACAAGACTGCTACAGCAGTCATTGGCTTTGATGGCTGAAAGTTACATCATATTGAATTTGGATTTGTCATAGTTCTTATTCTATTGTAAATGGGTATTAAAACTTTATTGTAGGGGTTTCCAATGTTATCTTCTGAAAAGTTAGAGCTAATTTGTTGTATACTAGAATAAACTTCTGGCGCACGCCTGTAATCCCAGTGGCTCTGCAGTCTGAGGCAGAGGATTGTGAGTTCAAAGTCAGCCTCAGCAATTCAGCAAGACCATAAGGAACTCAGTGAGACCCTGTCTCTAGTTAAAATACAAAAAAGGGTTGAGGATGTGGCTCAGTGGTTAAGCGCCCCTGGGTTCAATCCCCAGTAACCAAAAACTTCTGACACTTTTGTTACCTATTTTAAGTTAAACTTAAATCTTTTGCCTGATTTGTGGGGCCAAATGTTTTCTCTGATAAGTGGATGCTAATCCATAATGGGGGGTGGGGCGATGGGATGAGTAGAGGAACTTTGGATAAGGCAAAGGGGAGGAAGGGGAGGACAGGGGGTATGGGGGTAGGAAAGATGATGGAATGAGATGGGCATCATTACCCTAGGTACATGTATGATTGCATGAATGGCATGACTCTATTTCATGTACAACTAGAGAAGTGAAAAAGTTTGCTCCATTTGTACACAGGGAATCAAAGAGCTTTCTACTGTCATGTATAACTGATTAGAACTAATAAAAAAATAAAAATCTTTTACCTGATTTGTTCCCAGATCTACAGCTTAATTTCCTAGGGGCTGTGAAAAGGATTGTCAAAGTATTTGTGTAAAGGATTAGTACCTTCTCATAAAGAAATAAAATTTTCTTGCTTGTATTTTAGAAACATTGATGTAGCCTTTTTAATATATATATATATTTTTAGTTGTAGTTGGACACAGTATCTTTATTTATTTTTATGTGGTGCTGAGGATCGAACCCAGTGCCTCACACGTGCGAGGTGGGTGCTCTACCACTGACCTACAGCCTCAGCCCAAAGGACTTTTTTTTTTTTAGTTATAGAGGGACATAGTATCTTTATTTTGTTTATTTATTTATTTTTTATGTGGTGCTGAGGATCGAACCTAGTGCCTCACATGTGCAAGGCAAGCGCTTTGCCACTGGGTCACAACCTCAGCCCCTGATGTAGCCTTTGTTTTTTTTTTTTTTTTTTGATACCAGGGATTGAACCCCATGGCACTTAACCACTGAACTACATCCCTATCCCCTTTTACAATTTTTTATTTTGAAACAGGATCTTGCTAACTTACTCAGGGTCTCACTAAGCTGCTGAGTCTGGCTTTGAATTTGTGATCCTCCTACCTCAGCTTCCCAAGCCACTGGGATTACAGGCATGTGTCACTAGTCTTGGCTTGATGTCTTTTACCTCTGGGGGTTTATGTATATCCAGAGTTTATTCTGAATTGTCTTCCTTCATTTGAAGTTTTACTAAATAAAAATTATTTGTAGTTAGCATAGTTTGCTTAAGAATAAAGGCAAGATTGGGCCAAACTTTGAGCCACCACCTAGAATTTTCCACTTTGTTGCTTGCATCCTATTAGCTTGATGTTTGGCGACATAAACCTTGAAGGCCTCTGTGAAGCCCTAACCTGAAAGCCTAGTGGTAGCCCTGTCACTTTCAGGCAGTCACACCCATTGAGTTGTGAATGGATACCCTTATTTTAAGAATGGCATGCGTGTGTGTGTGTGTGTGTGTGTGTGTGTGTGTGTGTGTGTGTGAGAGAGAGAGAGAGAGAGAGAGAGAGAGAGAGAGAGAGAGAGAACGAACCTCTATCCCTTAGTTTTTCCAGTTTTGGTAAATAACACCACCATCTACAGATGTTCATGCCAGAGATCCAGAAGTCATCCTGGATTCCTCCTTTTTCCTCACTCCCCAATATAGTCATCAGTAGCACTGGCAGTACGGTTCTAGTGTCACTGCTTGTTGCCTCCATCTCTTTGTTCCCACTAGACCAGGTCACCTTCTACAATTACCTGGATAACACAATGGTTTTGCCATTGTGTTTTTGGTCTTCTCTTTTCCTATCTCATTTCCAACTTGAGAAAGAGTGACCTTTACAAAACAGACATATAAAATTTCATCCTCTTCCTTAAAACTCTACAGACATTTGCTTATTGTGTGTAGTAGAGTGGCATTGATCTGTAAGACTCTGCATATAATCTAGTCCCTGTTTACTATTCCATTTTTATATCAGAGCTCTCTCCCTCACTTGAACTTTTTTCCTTAGCCTCATGGCCTTCGAGCCATTTCTGGGCAATCTCTTTCCAGCTGTAGGACATATATCCATGCTATGTTGACATCTTAAGTTCCTAAGGGTGGGTTCCTCTTCCCTTCTGTGTCTCATGGTTGCTTTGTTCTCATCCTTCAGAATTCAGAGACTGCTCCCACCATCCTATCTAAAGTACATCTTGTTATATTAATTCATTAATTATGGGAGTAGCATATGGTAAAGCTGGTTTTAGAAAGTGTAGAGAGTCAGAGGTATTCATAGTCATAGAAGGAAAGGAGGCTGGAATAGGATTGGTATATTACATACAAAACCAATTAACATTCTGTAGGGCAATAAAATTGGAATTCATTTATTGTACTCTTTTGGAAGATAAAATTTATTTGCAGTGTTATTAAATGAGAGTTACTTGTTAGCTAACAGTTTTCTACAATTTAATAGCTACCCTTTCAGAATTGCAACTTGGGAGGCTGAGGCAGGAGGATCACGAGTTCAACTCCAGCCTCAGCAACTTAGTGATACTCTAAGCAGCTTATCAAGACTCTGTCTCTAAATAAAATATAAAAAGAGGGTTGGGGAATGTACCCCTGAGTTGAAGAGTAAATAGTAAGTTGCAACAGAAGTCCATAAACCTAGAGAGTTAAGTCATCCGTGGATGGGCCCATTGGATAATTCTTCTGCAGGATCTGTTTCCTTATGTGATTTTTTAAATTTTTATTTTTTATTAGTTGCTCGAGACAATACAATGATCTTGACATATCATACATTTGATTCAAATGGGGTATGAATTCTCATTTTTCCACCTGTACAGATTGCAGGATCACATTGGTTATACAGCCACGAATATACATACAGCAATACTAGTGTCTGTTGTATTCTCCTTATGTGATTTTTAT